TATATATTTTAAAAAATAGCTCCTCAGTCTGTGGATAAATATGATGCACAGTTTATTATTAGAATTGAATATGTCTTATCAACAAATTTAATCCTTTGTCTTTACTTTTAAAAATATGAATGTTAAGAATCCTTATGTATATCTAGCTTTATATACCTATTAGCTAACGTTTGTCTACATGTTTATATACCTAAATAACCATAGACATATATGCATGTTTCAAATTAATTGTTTCTATTTTATTGCACTTTGGTCATATCAAGATGACATTAGAAATAACAATAATTTTTTTGAATTATTATTTTTTAGTTTTTGAGACAGTGTCACATGATCAGGCTAGGACAGAATTGTAGATGCCCCTGACTCAGCCTGTGAAGTGTCAGAATTATAGGTATGTGTTAACTAACACCCCTAACTAAAAAAAAAATGAATCATCTTTATGTTAAGTAATTGCGTACTGGCTGTTCAGTTTCATTTAAAACCCTAAATTCATATGATTTTTTAAAGATATTTGTAACTTTGACACCAGAATCACTGAACCACCAGATATTCACTGAATATCTGGGAAAGAAGGCAACTTTATCAGTCTTTCCATTTAGCTATAAGGTATGTGAAATGCTTTTACACAATTAAACCTTTGATAATAGGCTTACTTAGGAAAATAAACATCTTGTGAATTTGTGACAGTATTGTATGTTCTCTCGTTTTATTGAATATGCTTTTTAAATTATGCTTATGTTTACTTTTTTTTGAGTTTATAATAATTTATTACAAAAATTGCCCATGGTAGCTAATAGGCAAAAACTATTTTTGTATGTGAGACTATTGCTAAAATTAATTTTGTTTTGTGAAAATATGTATATGTATATATATATTTGATTTTGTTTTTAATTATAAATGTTTTAATTTAAAATTTTAGAAAAATGAGAAAGCTATTGCTATTGTAACCCACATGGAAATGTGTCACTAATACACAATATTAAAGCTGTATGGATCAAGTATGGTAATATTATTTTATCATTATGTTACAAAAATGAGACAAACCAAACTGATATTTTATTGTTTGCTATGTTTTTGCTATTTTCATATGTCCTTGTAAATGCTGTTTTTATTTTCTCAGATGAAGGGATGGAATGACAGCTGTACCCATGTTGTGTGAATTTGAATACATGGCTTGGGCTGAGCCCAGAGCGTTTCTATCTAACTAACCCTAGGCCTAGGCCTGGAAACTTTTAACCTCCATGCAATCTAAGCAAGCCCAGACCTTGGAGGGGTCAGCTTTCAGTGTCCATCTGCTAACCTAGGCCTAGAATATTTTTAGCCTCTGAGACTTACTGCTGAATAAACTCATCCTTTCTAGCTCTTTTTAAATTCTGGATGGCTGGTTTAACTCAGCTGTTCTGGCTCAAACGCCTCTACAAGCTGACTGATTGAAACTGGCTCCTCTTAGGTTCTCACTGAATTTCTCTGGTTGGAAAAACTGCCTCTGAATTCTCCAAACCTAACTGCCCTAAACGACCAACATAACTGTAGTGACCGCACAAACTGAAACAGAACTTCATGGACTCAACGGCACTAAACTGAGCTCCACCAAAGTGAACTCTCTCTCCCTATGCTGATCTTAAGTACACTCTCCTTCCTGGGCTGATTCTATCTCTGACTCATTATGTCAAATCTTTCTCTGATTCATCACTTTGTCTGCCCTTCTATAGATCAGTGTTTGGAACTAAAGGTGTAAACTAAAGACATGACTTTATTACAACTGAATCACACAGACCTAGGTGTAATCCTTGCCTGAGCAGCCATGCTACTGGATTAAAATTCCACTACTTGGCATAGATAAGCATTTTTAGTTATTTTCTGAAGAGAAGTGTATGGTACTGAAAGTTAGCGTCTGGATAGGGCGGTGCATATCTTTATTCTCAGCGCTCGGGAGGTAGAGGCGGGAAGATATCTTTGAGCTTCAAGCCAGCCAGTGCTACAGAGTAAAACTCTGTCTCAGTAAAATAAAGGATAGATAGACAGACAGACAAGCAGGCAGGCAAAGAGATAAGCAAACGGATGGATGGACAGAGAGACGGATGGATGGATGGATGGATGGATGGATGGATGGATGGATGGATGGATAAATAAATGGTAGCAGTTTCTAACATATGTATAAGGAAAAAATATGAAACTTTTATATTTTACTGTGGGGAATAATTTTCCACGTCTCAGTAGGAAAACAAAGAGCTAGTTTTCATGACAGATTGTTGTAAGGAATTAAAGAACAGAGAATATACGTTATGTATCTTATACACATTTACATACATGATCTACTGCTACTGTAAATACGGGTGTATTTTCAGACAGACAAGTTTTTAAACTGCATATGGATGGCACTTATTTCCTTCACAGCTCTCTGCAACTGCATGTTCCTTAGAACAGAAGGTGTGAACATATCCCCAGTTCATATGCCCTAGTGAGACGACTGCCCAACAGGACATTTCCAGACAAGCAACTTTGTACAATATTTGGCTTTCATAGGTAAATTTTTTTTTTTTAGAGAACTTCATCATAAAAACGCTTTTTCTCATGATTTAGTAACTTGGCATGCATTATGGAATGTTTTGTTAAGGAGCTAAATATTTTAAAATTGGAAAGTTGACAATAAATATGCACCAAGCCTACAAAGACACCCGCTACAACATAAAATGCCCTAAGCTGTATTTACATGTGACAGCACAAGCCACAGAATAGCATCCAAAAAATTTCATCCATATTAATAGACTGCTTAATAATCAATCTCACAACCTTGAGATGAGCCGACTGGACCATTATTCCACATCAAATTATAATTGTAAAAATCACCCATAGATAATTAGGTGATTTTTTTTTGTAAGAACAGCAATATGAGGGCAAATAGAAATAAAATTTTAAGTGATTTAAATAAGATGCCTTAGGAAGACACAAGGAAGTCAAATGAAATATGCTGTGGTCTGAAATAAGGAATGCAGTGGATAAACAGTGAATGTATATGAGTTGGAAAGAATGTTAATAGCCATTAAGTTGGGTAAAAATCAATTGGCTCATGTCAGGAGACTATTATTCTAGATTACCAAAAACAACTTCTGAATTTAAAATCAATTATATTCCAAGCCTTGAATATGGAATACTTCAAAATATAAATAAATATGGTATAACTATGCTTTAGACTGATTTGACTAATAGCTTTATGGACATTTAGAAAAGAATCTTAAACAATTACTGGGTAGATATTTGTTGTTGATTTGAGTATTCAAGGTAACAATGGGAGGAAAGATATTTAAACAATTTTGTGGTTCTTTGATGTCGGCTGATAATTTCCCAAAAGTTCATTTTTTAAAATAATCACAGAGTAAGGATCAAATCAGAAAGAAAAAAACATTTTGCTAAAACATGTATATTATTATATATGGGAAGAATATGACTCTATGATATGTTTTGTTATTCAAAGGAAGACTAAGAAAGACAGTCCTAATGAGACCTGATAGGCTAGGGTCAAATGGAAGGGGAGGAGACTGCCACTATCAGTGGACTAAGGAAGGGGCATGAGAGGAGATGAGGGAGGGAGAGAGAGTAGGATTGAGAGGAGATGAACGTGGAGCTACAGCTGGGATACAAAGTAAGTTATAATAAATAAAAATTATATTAAGAAAGAATTTTATATGCAAAAAAGAATTAACTTTTACAATTGATTTTTTCTCTTTCCACAAACAATTAAAATAGACATGTGCATGACCTGTAATTTCTTTATAAATAAAAGCTTATTAGCACTAAGTTTAACTATGCTCTAGTCAATAGTTATTAAATATCAGCCTTGAGAAGATCTCATTTATGTCCTCAAGAAGTTTACATATCAATCAAGAATTTCAAAGCCTGAACTTGGTAACTGATTTCCGACTTGAAATTTTCATTCTAATCTTCCCTTTTGAGGTCAGAAAAACTTCCTTTCTTCCCATAGTACTTCATAAACACATTTGCTACTGGATGGTTTTGTTACACTGGGACCTCACCAGTTCAGTTCTCCTTGTTTGAGGTGGAAATCAGAAATTCAAATTTTCCTCCAACAAGTATGGTAATGACCACCTGCTCAGCCTGATCTGTCACACCTATGTCTGGACTGAATATATTGATTACATTCAGTCCCCCTGTTGAATCCACAATGGTCTTTATCATGCTTAGATTACTCAAGGGTATTTTAATATGCATGTACATCAGTAACTTAGCCATCACAGTAGAATCAAGCGGTAGCTAGTGTTCACTTATATCGAGGGTACGTAGGTGTGTAGCCTTGGGTTTCTTCAATATTTCCAGAGATGGCTGATATTCTTGGTTGTAAAAAATCTTTGATCGTTTAAGACAGTTGGTCCAAAACATGCTACTTCTAACTAAGATTAGTTATTAATTTCCTTAAGTTTCTCTACAAGGAAATATTTTACACCATATCCACATACCGCAGGCTAAGCCTTTCCTCGTTAATGAACAACATATATATTTATTGATATGACTTTGCCCCTAAGATTATATGCTCCACACTCTGATGGCTATTATCACCTGAGCTGAAAAATATTGACAGTAAAATACGAAATGCAAAGAAAATAAAATTTAAACTCAATAAAATGGATAGAATGCATGTAAATATCCAGGGCACCATCACATCTGGACCATTCTCACAGCCATAGAGTTCTTCGTTATTGAAGAAATCTTAACTCAGATTGGCCTGTTTATATAGACAGAGGTACACAAATACACTGACAAAGCTCTACACTAAACGAAAAAATATCCAGATCAGCTCAACCAGAAAAAGTTCAGTTGCTCTTTCTGATTTTAAGCTTTACGCACTCTGCTTGTCAAACAAACCTCTTTTATAGAAACATGTTAAGTGATAACACAAGAGAAAAGCATCTAAGTCATGCTCTAAATCAATATTATTCTAGACAATTAAATGAAATGATGGAAAAAAAATGAATAAAACCAACCTTTTCTTTTCAAGGGAGGTTCTTCAATTTCTCCTAACAAGAAAAGAAAAATAGTAGATTAGCATAAGTGTTAGCAGAGATTTGCTATGTATTTATGCTTTGCTCCTTTGTTGCGATCTACTGCTTTCAGTTATCATGATTTTTGCATGCTTTGCTACCTAAACTTCAAAGTACATGCCCTCTTTATATGTATTCACTTAAGGTACTTTCATTTTGTGAGTTCAATAAAATTATGGCAGTGTTCCACGTTACTGCATGTTAGCTCATGCGTCATATTAATTTCAATTTTCTCTGTTTATTGTGACTTCTCACAGGAACAATACAGAAATAAATTCAGACAACATCACAAAACAGGTTCTAATAGTCAGAATATTCCTATTGGGTAAGGCTGAATGAATAATCTTGGATTACTAACAGTTACCATTTTTAAAATAGATATTAATAGATTGAATCACCATACTTTCTTCTTTGTAAACCCTCTAAATGCCAGCTTACATACAGTTAGCTTTTTCCATTTCCATTTATTCATTATGTGTGAGCTGCTTATTTATACTTAAATACTTAAAATATATCTTTCCATTTTACATTTCCATTTTACTCCATTAATTTATGTTTTGATTGGGCATTTTAGAGATTAGTTTTCTTCATTTTACTGTTACTATGGCTTACATGCACAAACACATGATAGATGGTTTTAATGTTTTTTATTTCAATCCTCCTAGAGATGGACTTGAAAAAATAGCTACTCTGTTTCAAATAAACTTCTAAGTGGGTAATCTACTGTGGTTTTATAGTCATTTATATTAAGAGTCACTGCTATAATGCCACTCTAATAGCAGCATTTAATTTTGATATCTTTTCAATAATAGCAGATGAACTATAAGATTAAAGCCGAACAGAGAGCAATTCACTCTATTTGGCAGCTCATTGAAGAGCTCTTTTTGTACACAGAAGTGTATCCATTTTAGCCTACCCGATGCTCATTAGGGCTAAGCCCTCAGTAAGGCAACGTCAAGCATGTCCAATACCCAGTCATAGCTGTGAGATACAGCTCTGTGTGCTCAGTACCTTTATCTATATCCTCATCTGCATCCTCATCTTCTTCATCGCCATCAGATGAGATGATGTCAGACAGCAAAGAAAAGAAGCCATAGATCCAGTCAGTGGTTTCTTCCACAGCATCATTCACTAGTTTTAGAGGATCTGAGCCAATCTTGGCAATGGAGCTTGCTAAAAGACATAGCAACAAAGAAAAACTTCATCAGTATCTAAGAAAACGTGGTTTTTAGAATTAAATATCTCTAGGCTTCTTTTTGTGCAGAAATGGAAAAATATATCCTGCTGTAGTGTGCATGTAAAATAGTATGTGCATACATGAAACAGTTATAATACACCATGTATATTATTTCATTGTTTTATATATACTAGTTTTATATATTAGCACATACATTACACACATATGTGTGTGTGCATGTGACAAAGAGAACAAATTTAAAACATCTGGTACTAAGCATTACAGAACTACCAAAAAGAAAATTACCTTAGTCCCGACTATAACTAAATGAATGTGTGGGACAGCAAAAATTTGAAATAAATCAAATAACATTTTTATTACATGAGTTTTTAAACCACTGAGTTACAGTTGTTCAGGAAAGGTGAAATAAACATTGACCCATAGAATATTTCCCAGTATTGTGGGAAAGGTTACCATATAAATCTTCAAATAAGGCCTACAATTTTGATTAGACTCCTTATGAGTGAGTTAAGACTGACTGGCCCACTAAATAGAGTCATTATAATTTGGAAAACAATGGAAAAACTTCAATTTATCAAAGTGGTGATTTTTTTTTTCACATTTGAGCAAAGTTTAACTTTAGCCATTCAGAAATTCTAGTACCTTAAAATTTTCAAAATGTAAACTCTAAATTTAAACTCCTATTTACTTTAATGACAGAATTAAGTAAAACTGAAGCATATAAATCATACTTTTAGTATGCCTTGGAAGATTGTTTAGCTTTAAATAAGAGCTTAAATAAGAAATATATGAACAAACATTAAGGAATTATTAAGCATTGTTGTAATTATAAAATTAGTGTCTAATATCTGCGTGAGTGATGTAAAAACACAACATAAATTGTAGCTGAGCTTTTATTAATATAAAATTAAATTTTAGAGCTACTTTCCCTTAATTTTAAAAACTAGTTCTGCTTTTCTAACCATCTTTTCCCTTTGATGGATTTAAGAGTCCAGAATGAAACTAATGTATTGTATCATCTAAAGGTTAAGTGTTCGGAAATCACGATTTTACTCTGATTAAGATAGGAAGTCACTGGAAGATTTGAGTAGATTGAATGCTGAAGATTGAAACAATCTCAGGCCACAAGCAGGCAGACAGTGAAGAGGCAATAAAATACTTTAGAAGGAATATGATCGTGGTGCATCCCAGGCTGGGTGACTGAATGCAATTTGTCACCACCCTCTTGGTGTACTTCAGTGGTCCAGCTCATAGGGTGTGTGTAAATGCTTTCACTTCTGTCCTAGCATGTGAGGCAGAAGAAACTCTATGGCTTACAAAATAAATTGGTGGAACAAATGGATACAGTGATACAGAGAATGGAAAGGTAGATTCTAATATCACAACAAGTATGTATCTCACATATTTTTGCAAGTGACACTGGCGGTGTAGAAGTGGCATCTACTGGGATGGGGAGGCTTGGAGGGAAATACCATGGGCTTTATTGTTTGGTCTGGGCCGAGGGGAGAATGAAGTTGAAAAGTGGCTGAGATTTACACTTTTGACACAACTAGGGATGCTTAGTTGTCACTACGTATATGATCTGATTGGCCTGCTCGTTGATCACTTCCTCCTGAGGGGGGAGCAGCCTTACCAGGCCACAGTAGAGGACAATGCAGCCACTTTTGATGAGAACTGATAGACTAAGATCAGAAAGAAGAGGAGAATCTCCCCTATCAGTGGACTTGGGGAGTGGCATGCATGCAGAAAGGGGAGGGAGGGTGGGATCGGGAGGGGAGGAGGGAGGGGCTTATGGGGGGATACAAAATGAATAAAGTGTAATTAATAAAAAATTTTAAAAAAAGAAAAAAAAAAGAAAATTTCTGCTTGAATTAGGAACATGGCAACACCAAAAAGATAGAAGGTGTCAACCCCGTGATGTTCAGTGAGATGACTAAGAACTGAAACTAGAGGAGACTGCAGCATCTAGAGGGCTGGGAGATATTGGGGGTGGGTGGGGTATTTAATATGAGGCAGGGGGAAGAGTGTTCCAGGAGAGTATGAAGTGCTAAAAATCAAGTAAAGATATCGTTTGAGAAGAACAGTGTTCAAGTGGCAGATGTTGCTGTTAGGGCTAGAGAAATGAAAACAGAATGGACAGACAAACCCTAGGACTGCTGATGGGGATGTCCTCAGAGGTTCTGCACACACAACAGCAGCAGAGCGTGCTCAGGTCAAAATGAGAAAAATGTGGTGGCAGCAAATATACTTTACTACCCTGGATGAATAAGAGCCATTTGAAGAAGAATTGAAATGTTAGTTTTTTTTCTTATGTTTTCAGATTACTGAAATGGAACAAATGTGTATTAGTTGATAATGTTGATGAGCCAGATCCCATAGAGAGAAGGGAAAATGACAGGCGAGAAGAGAATGCCTGAAGGAACTTTTATGCTCTTGTTTTCTCCTGTTTCAAGTCTGGAAATGTTATAACTCTCAATTAGTTCATAAAGCTATAAAGAAGACTGCCTACTCTTGTCCCTGAAGTCACTTTATTCCAAAGCCTAGCTCTAGGGACTCAACTTGATCGGCTCATTTCTTTGGTGAAGTGCCTAATAACCAAGTCTGTCCATACCATCTCCAAAGTTCCATGCCTCCCTGTGATCACACAAATACTGCGTCAGCTTTTACTGAGGTGGGCTAAAATCACACATCAAATCCACAATCAAGGAAAGAATTCCACAGGCCCAGGGTCACATAACAAAGAATTTTAAGAATAGATACAACTGGGGCTGAAGGGATGGCTCAGAGATTAAAAGCATTGGCTGTTTTTCCAAAGAATAGACCTAAGTAAGTAGGAGAAAGGCTTCTAAAATTAAAACTTTAAATCTCCGAAGAAAGAGGTTGTGTATGGTACTAAAAATAGAGAGATCTCCCACAATCACAAATTTCTAAAATTAATGTTGTGAAAAAAATCTTGCCGATAACATTCTAGAATTTCAATGAAATTTCAATCAAAATACTTACAATACTCTTTAGTGCCGTAGAAAAGGCATTCTACAACTTCCATGGAATCACAGGAAAATTTCAGATACCTAACATAATCCTGAGCAATGACTTTGGGCAGATTACTGTACCATGTTTCTAGATAGATTACAGAGCAACAATAATAAAGACAGCAAGGTACTATCACCAAGATGGGCCTTTCGATCAATAGACCAAAATAGAAAACTCAAAAATGAGTACATATAACTACAACCACTGATATTTGACAAAATGCCAAAAATAAACACTAGATAAAAGCCAACATCTTTGACAAGTGGTACCAGGATAATTGGATGTTCAAGAATGAAATTATACCAGTATTCATTTCCCTGCTCAAAAATCAACTTGAATAAATTAAAAATCTCAATGTGAAATACATAGTATCTTACAAGATATGTGAGTTAGAAACGATTTTCTGAAAATTATTCTGTTTTCTCAGGAATTAAGGCAATTGATTGAGAAATGGGATATCATAAAACTATACAGCTTTTGTATAGCAAAGGAAATAAGGAACAGAGTGAAAAGGAAGCCCACTGAGTGAATGGGCATACTTGCCAGCTAAATATCAGATAGAAGATTAATATTCAGAAACTGAAAACACAAAGGAGCAAGACAACAAAAGACTCAATTTAAAAATGGACTATGAACTTATGTCCAACTGTAATTCCAAGAAACCACAACAATGACCAAAATGGCAAGATATTCTAAAATGTTCTGTAGTGACACTTATGTCCAGGGGTGGGGGTGGGGGTAACAAAACATACCTGATTCAAGTTGTGGCCCAGTCTAGAGTTACTCATGCCTGTTCTAGCCAATTATGAATCATGGGCAAGTTTAGCCATTATCAGTCATTGGCAAAGAGCTTTGAGCTTACAAAAAGAACTTCCAGTATCCTAAGCCAGTATAATCGTAATGGCATTCTAAAGACTTATTCTTGTAACTACAAACAAGTGCAGTTCTCACTCCTCATCAAAGAAGCTGATTTATGCATCAGATGGAGACTATTACAGAACTCAAAAACTGGGCAGAATTCAGATATCAACTGGCTTTGCTGTGCCCAGCCATAACTGATATATTTACAACACAGCATGTACACGTATGGCTCAGGGAACCATTTTAAAAAGAGGAGATGGAAAGATTTTAACAAAACTGAGGGTGCGGCCTTCACAGGTCACAGGGTTAGACAATGCAGCCAATCCTAATAAGACGGGGAAGAGGATCTCCCCTATCAGTGAACTACAGGAGGAACATAGGGGTAGAAGAGGGAGGGAGGGTGGGAATGGGAGGAGATGAGGAAGGGGGCTACAGCTGGGATGCAAAGTGAATAAATTGTAATAATCAATAAAAATTTTTTAAAGAAACACAAAAACAGAGGGCCAGGTTGGCTGCTGTGGAATGGTGCCTTCTGTTAATGACAGGGACACTGAACCCAGGACATATCAAGAGTATCATTCCATAAATGACATCTGGACAGTAACATGCTCAGGTGGATCAAGGAAATTTCACAAGGCCCTCTATCTAGATGAAAATCTGTAGGCTGTTGATGACTACTGAGTGTCAGAATCAGTCTCCACTAGATACAAGCTCCCTGATAGATTATTCAATCGCAGATGGTCTGTCGTAAGCATATGCACACATACAAGAAACACTGAAGGTACTAAGCAAGCTGTGTTAATATGTGCCTATATGTGTGTAAAAGCTACTGTGTGTGTGTAATAACAAATAATGAAGAAGTTATACATTTGTAAGTGAGTGGTCTACAAAGGATTTGGAAGGGAAAAAGGCAGGGGCTGTAGCTATAATATTCATGTATGAGTCTCAAAAAATTAAAATGAAATGTGAGGTGGAAGTTTCTGGCTTTTTGGAAGACTCGGGTCTGTCATGTGATGTTTCACTAGAAGCTGTCTCGTGAGATGACATGTGCTGTCTTACTGCAAGCTGCCTCATCCGAAGG